AAGCCTTTAATTCTGTCGAAATTTGGGTGTTGCTACACAATCCCTTCAGTGGTGCAAAGTTGACTATCAGTATATCGAAGTGCTGAAGTGCTGAAGTGAAGTGTTGCCAGTGATGACTTTTGGATCTGAGACGCCGTTTTTCACTACTGGCTCCACTGAGGACGAGCTGAGGAGCTATGGTAAGTTGGAGTAGCAATGGGCCGACTATATAACTCGAAAAACCGACAACTGATGGAAAAAGGTTCCCCCACCCCAACTCACGGTGAACAGCTAGTTTCATATATATAGGTGATAGAATTGCTGGATTTTTTTCCTGTTTTTAGTATTGTATTAATTCCCAATTTTTGTTGGTAATACCACCATCAATGAACAAAAAAGAAAGTAACTGGAATTAAGGAAAGGATGTAGTGAAAAAGGATCGAATATTTTAATTAATAGAATAGAAACGGGCTAACAGACGATTTAAGAGAACTAGAGATTCTATAAAATGGTAATGATCATTCCGACTTATATCTCAGAGGTGTCATTGCAACTGCATTTTAATTATTAACTCAACAAAATCTAAGAAATACCTTTTGACGTTTCACATTAATCCTTTCACAATAACTTTGTAAAAGCATATTCACACGATTTAAAATTAAATTCTTTAATTGTGAAGCTATTTCTATTACATTACAACATGTTTAATTTTTGGTACTAATTTAAATTTAAATCTTTCGAAAAAAGCAAAATGAAAACATTTATCAGATTCTACGTGGTAGTGAGCTTTTACGTGGTAGAGCCATGCTTCAGCTATATTAATAGTATAGTTAAAGCACGAATTAATCGGCTTGACCAAGGAAGGACCACGCCTTCACAGAATACCAGCGTAAAATAGCAGCTTAATGCTGCTGTGTTTCGTATGGTGAATGTAGAGAACCGGAGACCCTTTTTACTGGAAAAGAGGCATTCTATCTTAGCGTTGACGTTGTTTCAATGATATGTCGTTATGCGCCTTACCAGTGTTTAGATGATTCAAATTCATGTTTAAGCGAGTTATCAGTAAAAGTATTCTAATAATCGAACTTTTAGTTTTTTTTACTTATTATTTGATTATTTTTTTTTAAATTTACATATGTAAGATAATTCATAAATTAAACAAGATATTTTTTATATTTTTTGTTTGTTACAGGGAATTCAATCTTAACCCCAGGTGTGACAACGCTTCTGAATTTATAATCAAAGACAGATATACCCGTAGGGTTCTATGGGGTTCATTACCCCCTCACCTTAGTTGGACTGTGTGCTGTAATTTAATACTTACATAAAGTTAAAGTCGACGACAAAGTATTTTTATTCAAAATTTATTCATAATTTATTATAGATACAAAGAAAAAGTCTTAAGATGTATGTTAATAAAAGTAGGTAATTAAATAAATAAACAATAATTTCTTCATATACCTGGGATTCCTTTTCGAGGCACTGGGTACATGGACACGAACATGCACCCATTTCCTCAAAGAAGCACACTCGGGTTTTTCCGCTAATTACGTTAAGAATGCTGTTGGCGCTCCCACGAATCCCTGTACTTCAGGGACGCAGTTCTTTTGCGAAAAAGGATGAAAAACTATCTATTTGGGTAACAGCATCCATAAATTATTTCATTACAGCCTTTCACATGTGTGTGTGTGTGTGTGTGTGCGTGTTCATTTTTGTGCTTATACTATGGTACCTTTAGAATGAAAATTTTCAATACTTTACTGTACTTAAAAAGAAACTTTACTAAAGCCTTTGGACGTTCTGCAGTATTGTGAAGGCAGTTGACATACATAAACTGTTCAAGGACAAATATCCAGATTGAAAATTATTTAGTAGGCCTTAAAAACTCTTGTTCCGAACGAGATTCAAACCCGCAGTCCTCAGCGCCGCACCTCCATGCTAAGCTACTGCTCCTCAGAACCGTCGACTCCCTTTGCTTTTATAATCCAACCACATAATTTTATTTAAGTTTTGATTAAGGAAATGAAAGGAATTAAATTATTATACATTATGAAATCGGTGCTCACACATGTAGTGTAAGAAAACTAAAGCACAGACTTTAGAATGTGATATTATTACTTCTCTATACTTCTTTTTTGAAGTACGAGTTTAACTTTATATTTTTTTTACCTGTCGGATGTTAAAATGTCATTGTGGGCTAAATAATAACGTAAAAAATTTGATACTCCATTTTTTTACCCTTAGAGGTAGAATCTTTTCTAAATTTATGTGGGTGTACCCATTTAATACTAGTATTACCTATTTAATACAAATAATCATTAAATTCGGTCACAGTTAAAGAAAAGAAGTGGTATGTATGTACAGTTGAAGAAGATATCGTGTATATATTTAGGTATATGTTTTTGTTTAGTGTACTACATTAAACAAAAACATATACCTTTAATAACAGTGTAAGAAGTATTGACCTACCATAGTTGTACGGTGCAACCGCACATATCGCCCGATCAGCATTTTTGCTTCATATACTTATTTCATTGTTCATCTAGTCAGTTCACATAGCATCGCCACACACCGTGTACTTATTATCAGCTACTAGCAGTTTTTAAATATATTTATCATTTCAACTCAAGCAGCATATTTTATTTATTTCATTAACAGCATCATCTTGGATATAACTTACATATTTATGGTCCTTCGAGCTTACCGTGAGTGGGACTTCTGTCGCGAGTGACCTTTCTATTTTAAATTGCGATAGTGATGAGTACCGTGACGTAAGTTAACCAGCAGCAGCATTGGTAAGTCTACAGCTCTTTATAGAATCAGCAACCACAGTAATTGGTCAAAAAAGAAGATCTTCTTGCTATCCAAAACCAAATGATGAGAGCTATGCCGAATGCATGACACCGGCTAATATTTTATAGCGAGTAAGAACTTTAGAAAGTTATTAGCAGGAGTTTCAAGGTAATCATCTAAGGCTTTGCGAGTCTGACGATAAATCTCATGAATATTTTAGTGGAAATAACTATAAAAGAACATCCGATGTTTGTAATGAAACACGCAATTATTTTCTTAGTTACTTACCGAGAGACCATAAGGAAAAAGTCTTCTGAGTCCAACTACCCCATTGCAAAAGACGAGTTTTTCAGCTCTACCATCTGGCAGCGCGCTCTGTACTGAAACTACAACTGACGCAAAAGCATCCCGAGCCCAAGGTATAAACAGCAAGTTAGAAAATATGTTCAGAAAGCAGGAGAGTAACTCTAAAGATTTTCAGCGAACTATTAGCAACATTGATCTCGAACAGGTCTCCGAATAATGAGAGTATGAGGGTATTCTAAAGTCGGTTCAGGCACGCTGGACTATAATAAACGCCTTGCACTGGTAAATAGACAGTGAACTGTACGAGGATGATGAAAAGTGTGTTCAGGAGCTATGAGAAAAATTCAACAAGATTAAGAAAGTTGTCAACAGCAAGATGTGGTCTTATCTTCACCAGGAGTAGACAGCCGCAAAACTAATATCCCCGTGATCATTGGGAGCTACCACCAGTGGTTGTAGTTTAAGGGCTTGTTCGTCAAAACTTTACATAGCAACAGAGCATTATCGAACAGTCAAAAAATGCAATTTCTGAAAAGAAAATAAAAAAATTCTGAAAAGCAGAAAAAGTGTTGCAATATTTACATATAAGCAAAGATAACTATCAAGTATGTTGGGATCTTTTAAACCACCGGTATAATAACACGAAGCTTATTTTTGATTCTCACATGAGTGCCTTAGTGAACCAACCTACAGCGGTCAGCATCGGCCATTAAGAAGATTCATGATACCACCAACGAATGCATAACTCTCATCAAAAATCGGGAAGTTACCATAGATAATTGGGACCCCATGATAGTTTATTTGATTATTCAGAAATAAGACTCGAACACCCATAACGAATACATCGAATCACTGAAAGACCCCAGATATTTTCCGAATTTAAAATATATACTACAATTTTTGGAGGTAAATTCACAGCTCTAGAGTTTTCAAAACGCAAACACGATTACCAGGAGCTCCTTAGTTGCAAGAAATCGTTCGTTTTTAATGATTCACGATCAATAGAAATCAGTTATTAAAATCAAATAATTTCAATAATAAAAATAGGTTAGCGTCCGTACCGAAGCAAAAATGCCCCGTTTGCAATAAAGATCACGCCATTTCGTATTGCAAAATTATATTTTTAGATACCAACCTCATGTCGAGAAACATTGATACACCAATTAAAGACATTATACGTGGTAGAGCCATGCTGCAGCTATATTTCTGGTATAGTTGTAACACGAATGGGTCGGCTCGACCGGGGAAGGACCACGCTCTCACAGAATACCAGCGAGAAATAGCGGCTTGATGCTGCTGTGTTTCGTATGGTGAGTGTAGAGAACCGGAGACCCTTTTTACTGGAAACGAGGCATTCCATCTTAGTCCTCACGGGTGACAACGCATCTGCATTTTGATTCGTAATCGAGGATAAATGTAGATGTCTATGGGCTACAGTTACCACTTACCATCAGGTGGACTGTGTGCTCGTTTGTTACCCTTATCCTATATAAAAAAAAAGACAGCAAACATCTCCTCAGGATAAGATGAAATTATTATTTTGACTCATGAAATGTAGCAAGCATTTTGTAAACCCTGCAAAATGAAAGCAAAAGGGACCGAGTGAGTTCGTTTGGCCACTGGTATAAATAAAAAATCTTGATCTTATATTAGACGCATGTGGAGAGATTTAGAAGCTAGCAGCTGCAACATGACTACACCAAAACATAAAAAACGAGGTAAATCTGCAGTATGCGACAGTTTTAAAATTGGAAGTCTGCATAAAATAATAAATTCTATACTAATATATATACCGGGTGCTTCAAAAAAATGTATACACACTTTGAACTTCCATAGAAAATTTATTTACCGTTCTACAAAGTTAAATTTCAGGAAAATAGAAAGCTGAAAGTCCAATGTAAATGAAACATAAATAACAAATGTTAATACTGTTCAAATTGGTGACCTGCAGCATCAATACAATTCTGAGTACGAGTCACCACAGATTCTGTACATCGTATCAAAACGTCCAATGAGATTTCTCTACACACTGCTTGAATCTCATTCCAAAGAATGTCTAGGTTACGTGTTTTACGTTTGTATACCTCATCTTTTACTGTGCCCCACAAGAAGAAATCCAGTGGTGTAAGGTCTGGAGAGCGTGCTGGAAACTCGATTGGCCCCCTGCGTCCTATCCACTGGCCCGACAAATTTTGATCCAGGTAAGCTCGTACGTCCCTGTGATAATGCGGCGGAGCACCATCTTGTTGAAAATAAAAATCATCATTACCGTATAATGCACGAATGGCAGGAAATATGGAATCAGCAAGCATTGTTAGGTAAATAATACCAGTTACAGTGCCTTCAAATCGAAAAGGTCCAATGAGTCCCCTTGAAGACAAACCGCACCACACATTTATACCAGGCAAATTTACAGCTTTTTCACTTGTAATGTGAGGATTTTCTTCACCCCAGTAAACACAATTGTGCCTATTGACAGTTCCATTAAGTTTGAATTGGGCTTCATCCGACCAAATGATGCTACCCATAAATCCCGGTTCACGTATCACCATCTCCTGAATCCATTCACAAAATTGCAACCTTCGATCTGGATCGTCGTCATTTAGCTGTTGCACCAGCCTTGGAATGTAAACACGATACTTGCCTCTCTTCAGAATGCGTAGCACGCTGCTAGCACTTACATCACTTTCACGCCTTGAAGATTGAAGATTTGTTAGGAGAGCGTTGAAACAGTTCCAAGACTGCCGTTGATGACTCATCACTTGTAGCTGTTCGAGGCCGACCTGAATGACCTTTATGCACATCATACACTGTTCCATGAACTTCGAATTTGTCTCGTATGCGTGTAATTGTTAATCTTGAAGGTGGTTCTGTATCATACTCCCTTCTCCACTGTCTTTGAACTTCATTTACATTCTCAAACTTCCAGTACCACTTAATAACCTGCTTACGTTCTTCAAAACTCAAACGTACGTCCCCCATGTTGATATTACAAATTCCAACTGATAACATAACATAGAGGGACGATTATGCTGGCACCTGGCGAAGAAATATAACATTAGCCTTGTAGAGCGGAAAAACTACAATAGTTTAAAGTGTGTATACATTTTTTGAAGCACTCGGTATATATATATATATATATATATATATATATATATATATATATATATATATATAACTCAAAAGAGGATCTAGAGTTTCCAGGGAGCAACTCTAAGGCAAGAAATAGTGAATTCACTCGGCTATAAATTCATAAAGTGCCAGAGCAAAAGGTTAGCTCTTAGTCAAAATGATGCACTGGGGGCTAACAAAAAACCCGTAATACATTTAAATGAGACATGGATCTATACTCACTACACAGTGAAGAAGTGTTGGCAGATAACACAATGTATGGCGTAAAAAAATTAAATCGCATGACGTCGGTGGATAACTCACGCAGGAGGTCCAAATGGTTTCATAGACGAGGTGCTTCTTATGATTAAAGCAAATAAAGGTTAAAAATCTGTGATTATCATGACGAACTGAAGGGTGTAAATTATATTAAATTAATAAATGAATTCTTTATACCCATTCCCCAAGAAACGCAATAATTGTCATGGAAAATGCCGCTTACCAGCTTACCTTACAGCATGGAAGCCTCTAAGCTCCCAAATATGAACTCAAAAAAGCAGAATGTATTCACAGATGAGAGGAAAAATATTGTATATCAGGAATATTTTACAAAAGCGGAACTAAACAAGTTAATAAAATGCACAAAACGCCTAAAAACCATGTCATTGACAGTATTTTGAACTCCCATGGTTTCGAAATGTTGAGGCTGCCGGCCTGCAACTGCGATTTAAATCCTAGAGCTAGATTCCGACTAAAACTTTTCCTCTTATGGTTCTTTTATATTTATTTGTAAATAAATATTTTTTCAAAAATATCTGTTTTGCTCCCTCTATCGATATATAATATAATTCTAAATAATTATATATATATATATATATATAAATCCTTCCTACCTAACTGGTTTGAATTGACAGATATAACGTCACAATATGGCACCAGGCCAGTCCTGTACTTGTTTGAATCCCATTATACCTGTCAAACCCTTATCGAATTTTGTTTGTTTATGAAACAAGTACAAAGAAATCAATAGTCAAGGCTTAATATTGAACCAATAAATGTAAACCCTTGACTAGGAATCCTACTAATATTATAAATGTGAAAGTTTATAAGGATGTATGGATGGTTGTTAGTCTTTCACGCAAAAAACGACTTAATGGATTTTAATGAAATTTTAAAAATATAGCTCATACATCGGAATAACACATAAGCTATAATTCATAAAAATATTGTGTAAATTGGCCAAAATATAACGATAAATGTTAAGTAAGTCTGAAAAAAATCTGTCATCTGCGAGCTATTTTGGCGAGAACACGCATCACGCACAAACCTGTAAATCGATTTGGATGGGACTGTCACTGGAGGATAGCTGGTGTTATAAGGAGTAACTTGAGCTACTTTTATTTTAGGGTTCAACTCAAAAAATTCCACGCGGGCGATGTCGCGGGGTCATCTGTTCCCATCGTCTATACAATCTTATCAATTCTGACATTTTATTAGACTATCTAGTCCACAGAACACACTTACTCTCATCTAGTCTAATATAATGTCAGAATTGATAAGATTGTAATATAACCTCTATATACAGGGTTATTTTTCAAAGAGTAGGAAAATTTCAAACTTAAGTTCAAATATATAAATAATGGTATAACGCTATTGCAGTTTTTGAAAATACGAGTAAATAAAGTCTCTTATTTTATTTGAAATTATCCAAAATTGAATGTGGTTTATGAGCAATAAGGTTTTGTCTACCGATCGGCCCTTACGAATGTGTGTGTGCGAAGTAAATTCAGTTAAAATAATGCATTACAACGCATTTCGAATTTAAAAGATAAAAAAAAATTCTGTGATTTTTTTAAATTTATTTTATCACCATTTGCCTATATTACTAATTCTGAACCTGTATAAAAATAATTTGCTGTCCGTTAGTTTCGCAAAAACTCAACAACGGCTTGACTGATTTGGATGAATTTTTATGTGTTCCTGAATGATTGAACACATTTCAATTGGACTCGGTAGGTTGCACTGTTGTCGAGATCCAGAAATCATCCGTGCGAAGCCGGGGCGGATCGCTAGTAGTTTAATATAATCTAACATCCTTAACGAGGAATACGCGAGGAAACGCCCACCTTTAACCGAAATCAAAAAAGAGGAGATTCCTAAATCGACTGTATTATTTTTAGTACGAATGTTATGCGATATCTTCGTCAATTATGAACAGATTTTATTAACTCTTACTTTATTTAACATGTCATAATTCAGGGATGGCCCCGTATAAATTTAAAGAAAAATTCAAACCCAATGGTCTCTTAATAGGGGTTAAGGTTTTTAATGGAACCATTTAGACCACGTTAGAGCTTTTGATATTCCTTAATCCACTCAAAAGAGACATATAACTGGACTATTATTAAAAAAAATAAAGCCAATCTCAAAAACCCAGAAAGGCTAAATTTAGCATTATCTATCATGAGTGGTACTACATTTAAATAAAGCTAGTCTTTACGGGTTTTTTGGGTATATTAACTTATTTTATATCCGCGACATTTCAAGTATTTTACAGCAGCCATGGTCATGGGAAGGTCTGAAGTGTTCTAAGTCTCAATGCCGTAGTAAAGCAAAGCTACCTTCATATTAAAACTATAAATTTTTATACTTTATATAAAATTATATTTTACTAAGCAGTCTGAACTTATCTTCATTTGAAGTGGACAAGGAGTGTACAGTCTTGATTGTGAATGTGGTCTCTCTGAGATAGGGCAAACTAATAAAACCAATAAAAACTTAAAACGAAACAGAAAGTTCTTTGAAATTAAATGGATCCGGAAAATTAAAACAGTTTCACCGGCGTCTTATCCTGTCAAAATCTCATCTACGATCTCATTTTGTTGCAAAGTTAACGAACGCCATTATATAATTCAAGCTTTGAAGTAATTGCTAAGACATGTTAATTGCGTTAGTTTATGAGGCACGAAAGATATTGGAATCCTACCTTATCTCCCTAATAATTAACAATCATAAGTATCTATGACGAAAATACATTAAGAAGTTAATTTAAACATTCCTTTTTTACTGACATAGTCGCATAAAAATAGCTTACGAGTATATAATACCTAGGGTCTTTGACTGTTAAGCTTCATTGAAATTGTTGGAGTAGGTTTTGCGCTAATTGTGAATACAATAACAACGTAGTAGCACCATGCTGCAGCATATTAAGGTTTCAACACGAATGCGTTGGCTCGACCCGTGAAAGACAACGCTCTCACAGAATACCAGACTTAATGCTGCTGTGTTTGGTGTGATGATTATAGAAAAACGAGGACCCTTTTTTCTGCTACCGATGCATTTTACTTTAGTAATCAGGGGTGTAAGAGCATCTACATTTTAATTCTTAATCGAGGAGGCTATCCCTTAGACACCTATATATCTGGTGTTTTTAAGGTACATGTATACCATCAGAAGGACAGTGCGCTCGTTTGTAACCCTTGTTTTTTTAAAAATAAATAGACAGACAGATAAAAATTCTAAAAATTATTGGCTGGCTTCAGTTTTAAGGAATTTGCTTCTAGAATAGATTTTTAAGATATTGCATCAACAGATTTACTCGTAATATATTTCTAGAAATAAATAAAAGATATAAAGAATGAGATAACCTCAAAAATAAGCGTTTGCAGCAATGCAAGCTCTTGTGTCCGTCTGAAGGTTATAGAGAGTCAGTATAATCAAAGAGAGTAAAGCATTGCATGTTCGTCCTCTTCTCTGAAGTTGGTTGCAAATATCCATGAACTGCAGTAGTCACTTACCACGGTGCTGCTTATGATGTCAAATTTTGTTTCATTCAAAATAAATATAAATAAAAATCAACAACATTATAAGTCTGGCAAAAAATATTAAAGTCAATTCACAATATTACATTATTTTTCTAACAGCACGGATCTCTTAAACGGTTGTGTGTTAACGTGATCCTTGAAATGTTAATGGAGGAAAGAGCGTTTTAAATGCGCAAACTTAGAGCTCGGTGGAGGATTACTGAAACTCTAACAACCATTTATCAATGCCAAAGTAAAAAGAGTGAATATTTCTTGAGTTTTACACTTGACAAATATACTAAGAAAAAGTTCTATTGTTTTCATTAAATATATGAAAATAAGGAAAAGAAGTCTACAAACTGAAAATATATTGTTATTATTCATCATTTTTTATGTTTAAAATTTAGGTTAATTAAATAATGGTATGAGAATTGAGTCACCTGCATCAACATTATTAGCCCTTCACAAATCCACTGCTGAAAATAAACCTCCTCCAAGGAATGCCACAAAACATGGTCCTGACCCGCCTGGATCCATCGACTTCCTGCATGTCTTACCAGTTACTTCACTCTACCTAGTGAATGGTCACTCTACACTTTGCCTACCGGTACGAGACTGCCATTTGAGAAACTTTTCTCTTCATCGATTGTTGGTTCTTCGAGCTATATGGCCCGCCCATTGCCATTTCAGCTTACATATCCGTTGGGCTATGTCGGTCACTCTGGTTCTCCTGCGGATATCCTACTTTCTTAGTTTATCATTCAAAAAAAACCCGAGCATAGCCCTCTCCATAGCTCGCTGAGCGACCTTGAGCTTCCTCATACGGCCAGCAGTGAACCACGTCTCAGATCCGTAAGTCATCACTGGCAACACGCACTGGTTGTACAATTTCGTTTTCAGGTTTT